TGCAACCCTCAGTGTGTGTGATCTTCAGTGATCCCTCCATGAGGGGGAGTTCTGAGTGGAGCCATGTCATAAGAAATAATTGTTCTTAGATTCCGAGCTATGATTAAGTGCAAGCCCCCAAATCCGTTCATATATCTGTGGTTTATACATGTCTCTGGTTCACTTTAGGAACATCATTATTATTCTATAATAGAGAACATTATAAACCATTCTCTTGGGGCATGTTATTTTTACTCACAGAGATTCTATAGGACAGAGCTGAAAAGTCCCATAGGGTTTCCTCAGCTGCAATCTTTAAAAGCAGACTGCCACACCTATTTTCCCAGATTGGCAGCCAAGCCTTTAATCACATTACCAGGGATCCTTAATTTAAAAGTAGAACTCTAATTTCCGATTGTAATTTTTACCATGTTTTGAGGTCTCCAATTTTATGATGAATGCTAGTGGGAACATGTGATTCTACTCTTTATGGTGCGCATTTCAGGAAATTACCTGCTCGAGGACAGAGACATGTTTTGAGTCTATTCTCTCCATGTACAACTCTTAAGGCCAGAGCATCATGTTAAATCCTACAAAATTTAACATAAAATTTAACTTAAAATCAGAGACCAAAATTTATTGGTAAATCACAATTGATGTGGGTATGGATTGTGATAAGAGTTGTATGAGCCCCTAATAAAATGATTTAAAAAAATATTGGTAAATAATGAAAAGAGGATTTGACTGGAGCTTAGTTCAAGAAACAAAATGAAAAAGCATTCAAATACATTTATTTTACTTTATACTGAACAAATTTTAGGTTATAGTGATCCCTACCCACTAAGTTCTCAAAACAAAGAATGAGTAAAACACTGATTTTTGTGGCATGATTTCTCTATCACAATTATATGGTAACATAATACAACATCTACCCAAATGGGTTAAATTTTATCAACGTAATTACAAACAGGAGCGCTTTCTAAAACTATTCAAGAGCGACTGCACTTTACCAGACTGCATTCTATCCCTCCGTTTACATCCTTTTAAAGGGTTGAAAAGCTAAGATGTGTTAACACATCAGGATAAAGCTCAATATTAATTAAATTAAACGTGAAAAGATGTTTCAATAGCGACTAATTTTCTAAAGCTTCAGATCACCACTTTTACCTTATAATGACTTTCTTCCTCAAGTAAGCTGTTTAAGTTATAAAACATTGGGGGGGAAATGGCTTGCCACTTATGTTAAGTAGTAAATTATTTTTTAACTTATTTACCTGTAAAAGAACAAAGACCTAATTCTGAGAGAATTACTCGAGAGACTAAAAAAAAAAAATCAAACAGTCTAATAAGTTGTATAATGGGAAGATTTAGATTACTTTAGCTTTCTGATTTTATCTAAATCACTTAGCTTTTATAGTTTAAGAAAGCCACCTGCCTATGAGATCGAACTATAAAAAATATTCTGTGAAAATTTTCAATATTTTAAATGTAAGCCACTTATCCACATAAGTACTATAAATTTTATTCTGTATAAGTTCACTTTTCATATTTGACACCAACTTCTTGCTGATGTTAAGTTCTCTCCATTGATGTGCTCAGAATCCAAGCTGTCACCTGAACAAGGACTGCTCTCTCTCTCTCTGGACTCTCTCTCCTGACACCGCTGACTGGCCCACCACTGGGATATTCATTTTTGGCTAAAAGGGAGGTAGGCTTTTCTGATGGGCTTCCAGAGTTCTCTGTCTTTTCCTGATGACACATGTTTTTGGCCCTCCCCTTCAGGTCATGACGGTCCCTTTCAGCAGTGAGAGCCAATGTCACAGCAGCCCTGCCTTGACAACCAAGGTGGCAGCAGGGGGGTCAGGAACAAAAACAGCCCTATGCAAGAACACCATTGTTTTTACCCCAAATCCAGCAGTATTTCATGAATAAACACTCCATTTGTTGTATGCTTTTGGTCAATTTTCATAGACCTAAGATGATTGTGGAGGACACAATTTTTTTTTGTCTTTATTTTTTTATTTTTTTCTACTTTTTTTTAAATTTTTTAACATTTTATTAGGGGCTCATACAACTGTTATCCCAATCCATACACACATCAATTGTGTAAAGCACATTTGTACATCGTTTCTCAA